TTCGTAATTAATAAAAGTATCAGACGTTAAAAAAAAAATTAGTCTGATAGATTTATTTATAAATAAACCCCTAAAAATAGGAGGCAATGCTAATTTGAAAACACAGTTTTATACACTTTTTCTACATATAATTTTCTATCTCTTTTCTTTTTATGTAAGAATTATACACTGTCAAAGACGCCAACGTTTGTTTTGAGTTTTTCAAACTACATTTTATAATTCCATTTGACTTTTAAGATATTGGATAAATAATATATGTTTACCTTTGTCTTGAAAGGTTCTAGATTGATGACTACTCTTTGTTTCTTACGTACGCGTAAGGTGTTTTATCCTCTTGCCTCTTTAAAAAAAAAAAACATTATTCGATTTACTACAACTATACTATTTTTTATTCCATTAATTTATTTATTTACCTATTATTTTTTTTAGAAAAAACACCAAAATATCACAGCTTAATCTATCATGATCTGAATTAATGTTTGTAAAAAAAACCGTTTAGTTAGAACATGTTTTAGAATTTTTATTTAGTTCCGGGAATAACTTGTAAGACAGGAAAGAAGCTAGGTAACTTGTGTGGTCAAACAAGCAAAGCACAAAGTCAATGAGGAGTAAAAAACACAATTCTGTCTAATTTTAAACAGTGTCATGTTTTGTAATAAAGCAGGAAAAGTAGGGGTGAATTATATTTTTCGCTGTTTTGTTAATTGGAGTTTCCATCGTGTACTAAAAACTACAAAGAGTGGGTCCTACACCACCTCTCCGTCTCTTCCACCTCCTCCATAGATAGATTTTTTTCTCCTTCCTTTGCTAAAAAACATTTTCTCTCACTCTCAATAGTGAGTTTATTGTCACAGAGCTTCAGATCTAGAAGAAGAAGAAGTAGAGTGTTCTGGAGAGAGAAACCCCCCATTTTAAAACCCTTGAAAATCAAGTCTCAATCTAGGTAACTAAAGCTTCTTTTTTTTTTACCATTTCTACTGTTAGATTTGATCAATTGGAGGTTTTCTAGTCCGTTCCTTTTAGTTTTTTTTTATTGCTTTGGTTTTATCACCAATGCTGTTCGATTCCCTTGAAGTTCGTGTTTTCTTACTGAGATCTGCTTCCTTCCTCCGTCTTTTACTTGTGCTTGATCGGACTTTATGTTTTGCGTTCCTTTAGCTTGACTTCGTTTGCTTTCTGGGTCACGCTTAGAAAATGAGCTTCGGAAGTTCAGGGTTTTTGTTTCCGATTGATAAAGTTCTGTTGAATGTTTGGTGAGTGGAGTTAAATATATATATTTTTTAAATGTTTGATTAGAGTGATTAGGGGGTTTTGGATTCCGAAAATGATTGTAACTTGGATTGAGAAAATCTATAGAATATCTTCGGGTATCTGTTATTTTGCTCCTAGCTTCGCATTTTTAGTTCAATTTCAATACAATTTGATGATTAAGTAAGATCTAACACAACTAAGTTTTAACAATGTCCATTAATCACTGCGAACTTCTGTGTACCGCACTCTTTGTTTAGCTATGGTCTCTAACTGGTATTTGTTTTTGATATTTTCGGCAGAAAACCTCCTGATTTCACGAAAATGGCGGTCACAGATGCTGAAAGTCCTCTTCTTGGGGAGATTACTTGTGGTACCTTACTACAAAAGTTGCAGGTTAATCTCACAACCATCTCTTATCTTAGCTGCTGGGGGTTTACTCTCAACCTTGTATAACGTGAACTTTAAAACAACGTTTTTTTAAATAGGAAATCTGGGATGAAGTTGGTGAGAGCGATGAGGAACGAGACAAATTGCTTCTTCAGATAGAGCAAGAGTGTCTTGATGTTTACAAGAGAAAAGTTGAGCAGGCTGCGAAATCCCGAGCTGAGCTTCTTCAGACCTTGTCAGATGCTAATGCTGAACTTTCTAGCCTCACAACGTCCCTTGGAGAAAAAAGCTTTGTCGGCATTGTAAGTTTTTTTGTACACAGTTTAGGAGTGGAATATGAAATTGGTATGTCTTTTCTTTTGTAAGTGATTTATGTCTTTTGTTTCTTCTGTTATTGCAGCCGGATAAGTCTTCAGGAACGATCAAAGAACAACTTGCTGCTATAGCACCGGCTCTTGAGCAACTGTGGCAACAGAAAGAGGAGAGAGTCAGAGAGTTCTCTGATGTGCAATCACAAATTCAGAAGATATGTGGAGAGATTGCTGGTGGTTTGAGCAATGAGATTCCTATAGTCGATGAGTCTGATTTGTCCCTGAAGAAGTTAGACGATTTCCAGAGCCAACTCCAAGAGCTCCAGAAAGAGAAGGTAAGAAAAGTTACTTGGGACCTCTCTATATATGGTGATGATATGTAACTAACGTGCTTTTTGTGTTGGCAGAGTGACAGGTTGCAAAAGGTGCTCGAGTTTGTGAGTACGGTTCATGATCTATGTGCCGTTCTTGGTTTGGATTTCCTAAGCACCGTCACAGAAGTTCATCCGAGCTTAGATGAAGAAGCCGGTGTCCAGTCTAAGAGCATTAGCAATGAGACACTCTCAAGGTTGGCTAAAACCGTCTTGACTCTTAAAGATGATAAGAAGCAAAGACTTCAAAAGGTAAAGACAAATCTCTCTGCATCCTAAACTTGTTTAAATTTTTTTTCGATAGATTGCAGCTTTACTGTTTGATTATCTGAGCTGAAACATGATAAGATGACGAGATTCATTAATGAATATTTGTTTTTGCTGTTTCAGCTCCAAGAGCTGGCTACTCAGCTAATTGATCTGTGGAATCTGATGGATACTCCTGATGAGGAAAGGGAGCTTTTTGGTCATGTTACTTGTAACATTTCAGCTTCAGTCGATGAGGTCACTTTGCCAGGTGCTCTTGCACGTGATCTGATCGAGCAGGTATATTACATTGCATTGATCAATATGCCTATGTGTTCTAAAGTAACTGTTACTCTTTTGCTAAAACTATATGTTTTCTTTGAAGGCTGAGGTGGAAGTGGATAGGCTTGACCAGCTGAAAGCTAGCCGAATGAAGGAAATTGCTTTCAAGAAACAATCTGAGCTTGAGGAGATATATGCTCGTGCCCACGTAGAGATAAACCCCGACTCTGCTCGTGAGAGAATCATGTCACTGATTGATTCTGGAAATGTTGAACCTACTGAGTTGTTGGCAGACATGGATAGTCAGATTGCAAAGGCTAAAGAAGAAGCGTTTAGTAGAAAGGATATATTGGACCGAGTCGAGAAATGGATGTCAGCTTGTGAGGAAGAGAGCTGGCTAGAAGACTACAATCGGGTAATGCATAACTTCTCTCAAACACATACCTATGGTACATCATAACACATTAACTTAAATTGGATCTTGAGCTTTTCCATGGTTTTGTTTAATGAGAACAGGATCAGAACAGGTACAGTGCAAGTAGAGGCGCGCATTTGAATCTCAAGAGAGCTGAGAAAGCCCGGATTCTGGTTAGCAAGATTCCTGGTATGTGTAGAAGATATAAATGATAGACTTAACAAATTTCTCTTACATATCCATGTCTTATTGGATCTTTCGTGTTGTGCAAAAGCCATGGTTGACACATTGGTTGCCAAGACACGAGCTTGGGAAGAGGAACACAGCATGTCCTTTGCCTACGATGGTGTTCCATTGCTAGCTATGTTAGATGAGTACGGTATGCTTAGGCAAGAACGAGAAGAGGAGAAACGGAGGCTGAGGGTAAGTTTCATCCATTTCTACTCGATTAAGGTAAAAGGTGAAAATGTTAGTCAACTCCATAAGCTCATATCGTTGGTCTTAATGAACAGGAACAAAAGAAGGTTCAAGAACAGCCACACGTAGAGCAAGACTCTGCCTTTAGCACCAGGCCAAGCCCTGCAAGACCGGTCAGTGCTAAGAAACCGGTGGGGGCACGAGCTAACAACGGAGGAGCCAATGGAGCACCAAACCGGCGTTTATCTTTGAATGCAAACCAAAACGGAAGCAGGTCGATTGCAAAAGAAGGAGGAAGAAGGGAGAGTCTCAACAGGCCGGCTGCTCCTACAAACTACGTTGCCATTTCGAAAGAGGAAGCTGCATCATCTCCGGTTTCTGGTGCTGCAGATCAAGTTCCAGCTTCACCGTGAAGATAAGAAAGGAAGAGATCTGTAGTTTTCACTCTGTTTGTGAGTTGGTTGTAGGAGAAAAGGCTCTATGAAACACCTGAAAGAAGACTAAAAGACATTTGAGAGTAGAGTGGTGTAGTAGAATGTGTATGTGTATGTGTTCTGTGTTGTTAGTGTTGTTTTGATAGTTGGTATCATCTTGACTTAAAAACCCACCTTTTTACCTGCAATTGGCTTATCTAAGGGATTATGGGGGTAACTATAAGCCTGGGCAAAATCACAAGTTTTCTATTGAAAAGGTAAAATGAGGGTTAATGTAACTATTCAGACGTTTATGAAGAGATACAAATAAAATATTAAGAAGCTTTCAGGGCAGAAATGAATAACTTTCCAAAGAAGAAGAGCTTTTTGTGGCAGTTAAGAAATCAGAGATTTTTTGTGGGCCCTGATATACAAAGCCCATAAGAACCTGAAGCATTGTTCACTTCAGCAGCCTAATAAATCAAGCGTCTTTTGGTTAGTTCGGTTAACTTTGTTTTTGCTCATTTCAATCATGCTCGGTTATGTAATTTTACATAGTAGAAATCTTTGGTATATATAAAATATTAATTTTTGTAGAGATGAAATTTAGTGAAAAGAATATTAATTTTTGTAGAGATGAAATTTAGTGAAAAGAATATTAATTTTTGTAGTATTCGAATTGATTCTATTCAGTCTATTCGGTGTAACAAAATTGTAAAGGTTCAGTTTGGTTTGGTTTTTTAGGTCCATGTTTAAGTGACAAGTGTGTCCTTGACTCATGTGAAATGTAAAATTAGTAGAGATGGCAAACGATGGCATTGTCGCGCGTGCATGTCCGCCACGGAGCATCGAAATATATTTTGGTCTCCTTCTCCTCCTCCTAATTCTTCATTTCTCTTCCATAGTTGTATACTTGTATTGAGAGAGAGAGAGAGAGAGAGATGACGACGATGGAGATAATGGAGAGAGACGCAATAAAGACGGTGGCTCCTTATGCTCCGGTGACTTATCACCGCCGTGTTCGTGGTGACTTGGATGACAAACTTACTAAGCCTTGTACTTCTTCCTAAACCCCCATATATCTATACATATTCAAATACTCGTATTTATTCATGATGCGTGTCACGTACGGTACATAATAAATGTTTGATATTTGTTAATTAGATTTGCCGAGAGCACTAGAAGCACCAGACATGGATCACCCTCAAGGAACACCAGATTATAGGCATAATGACCTTAGTGTTCTTCAACAACACGTCGCTTTCTTCGACTTGGATGATAATGGCATCATTTATCCTTCTGAAACCTTCTCTGGTAAATCATTTACCTCAAATCTTTACGTACAATTAGACCTTTTGACGCGTGTGATTGGAGCACTCTCGAACGGGGCATCAAGTCAAGATATATATATATTTTCTTAGAATTTGTGTTTTTGAATGCGTATAATTAGATACTCAAAGAAATGAAGAATTATTCAAACAAATATAATTAAGTTCAATAGAATAATCTGCCTATGGCTTCTAGATAGCATTATGTACATATCGGTTTATACATTTACATATACGAATTTGAATTCCACATACAGGGTTCCGGTTACTCGGTTTCAATTTATTTGCATCACTTATCTTCGCTGCTGGTATCCACATAGCTCTTAGCTATGCCACTCTCCCGGTACGATCACATATTAATATCTATTTTTGTTTAATTTATTTAACCGTACCGATCTTGTTATGATTGGTATATATTATAATGATTGATGAAATTTATAGGGGTGGTTACCGTCTCCGTTCTTCCCTATATATATACACAACATCCACAAGTCAAAACATGGAAGCGATTCTAAGACATATGACAATGAAGGAAGGTAAAGTAATGGCATAACCGTGACCTATGACCTATGTTATATGTATACAATTAATGCACCAAGCTTTTGCTTTATATATGTGTGTGTAATTGTGGAAGGTATACACCAGCGAATCTTGAGTTCATGTTTAGCAAATACGCGAGGACAGTGCCAGATAAGCTGAGTCTTGGAGAACTATGGGACATGACTCAAGGAAACCGCGATGCATATGACTTTTTTGGCTGGTATGTACTATTATACAATGATCAAAAAAAGGGGGTATGTTTGCCTTTTATAATTAACCGATATTTGGTTTCCGATGAAGAAGTGTTTTAATAATTGGTGTGTAGGTTAGCGAGCAAGACGGAGTGGGGAGTGCTGTATGCGTTAGCGAGTGATGAAGAAGGATTCTTATCTAAAGAAGCGATAAGGAGGTGTTTTGATGGGAGCTTATTTTACTATTGCGCCAACAACTACACCGAGATCAAGCAACACAAGACCTACTTCACTGATTAGTGATTAGTGAGATGATAGTATAATTGGTTCTTTGTAGTCCAAGGTGACACAAGCACGTACACTTCTGAACGTACAACTTCCTTTTGTAATTCAATAATGAACCGTAAAAGGATTCTATAGTAAATCGAACTGTTTTATTTTGTTTAGTTTCGAATTTTTAGTATGACTTCAGTTTTAATCGGCCGGTTGATTTGGTTAGGAACCCGACATAGAATGTAGCAAAGACTTCCGTTTTATAAAATACTCGATGTTTTAGAAATTTTACTCTTAGAAACAATAAATATGCATAATAATATGCATTATTTTCATGTCTTTTCACTTTTTAAATTTTTTTTCACACTTATTAAATGCAATATAATCATTATAAATGAACTTTAGCTTCACTTGATATTATTGGTTTGTTTACATATAAACATTTATTATTTTAAAATAATTAAATAAAATATGTTATTAAATCATTCTTGTAAAATGTAATAGCATTAAATACTTCTAAAACATCATCTATTTTGGAACAAAGAAAAATCTTAAAACAAAGAAAAATCTTAAAACATCATCTATTCTGGAACAGAGGGAATAATTTAAAACGAAAAACAAAAGCCCTAAGAAAGAAAAAAACAAAAATAAGAGTTAAAAACAGGCACACGAACGATGTTTCTTTTAATTAGTCCTTTTTCATTTTATTTTGGTTATTACAGGAAATATTGTTACACTTAAAAAACGAGTGATGCGAATGTGTACTTATTAACGTGGTCTTAAAAGTTAAAACCACCACCATCATATGCTTATGTGTCGTTAATTATAATGTATATGGATTTTACACGCTGCTATAACTGGATCAGATGAGCATAACGAGAACGTCTTACTACTTCTTAATCTCTCCCCCTTTCCTATCCATTAAAATAAAGAAAATAAAAACATACAAAACAAAGAAAAAAAACAAGACTTTGTCTCTCTTTATCCTCAAAATTTTACCAAAACGTCTCTCTAATGCTTTAGACAAGTCAACAATAAGAATAAAAAGAAGAAAACATTAGACATTTCAGAGCTCGTCGTGAGACTCATCCTCCTCCTCGGTCGCTGAATCTCCTGCAGCACCTGGTGCACCACCAGATCTCTGATAAACGGCCGTGATGATTGGGTTACACACTGCCTCTACTTCCTTGAGCTTCTCCTCGTAATCTTCTTTCTCCGAGTTTTGGTTCTCGTCAAGCCACTCCAAGGCTTCTTTGGTCGCTGCTTCAATCTTGTCCTTCTCGTCCGCCTCCAATTTGTCAGCGAGCTTGTCCTTGTCGCTCACTTGGTTCTTCATGTTGTACACGTATGTCTCCAGGCTGTTCCTGGCGTCGATCCTCTCCTTCACCTTCTTGTCTTCCTCTGCAAATTCCTCTGCCTCCTTCACCATCCGCTCAATCTCTTCCTGGCTCAGTCGACCCTTCTCGTTTGTGATTGTGATCTTCTCTGATTTACCACTCGCCTTGTCCTCTGCTTTCACGTTCAGGATACCATTCGCGTCCACTTCAAACGTGACCTCGATTTGAGGTGTTCCTCTGCCAAAAACCAAATAAATGAGTCCCTTATATTAATTCACAATTTTTACTTAAGGAAAGAGACGGAAATGGAATATTTTTTAAGAGACAAAACCTTGGGGCCGGTGGGATTCCGGTGAGGTCGAAATTCCCGAGCAGCCTGCAGTCCTTGGTGAGACTTCGCTCACCTTCAAAGACCTGGATGGAGACCGTTGTCTGCTGGTCTTGGTATGTCGTGAAAACCTGAGACTTCTTGGTCGGAATAACCGTGTTTCTCGGGATTAGCTTTGTCATCACTCCTCCCACTGTCTCGATACCCAAAGTGAGTGGAGCAACGTCAAGAAGAAGGATATCTTTCGTCTCGTCACCGCCTTCTCCGCTCAAGATACCACCCTGAACGGCAGCACCATAAGCAACAGCCTCGTCCGGGTTCACACCCTTGTTGGGCTCTTTCCCTTCAAAGAAGTCCTTCAACAGCTGCTGAACCTTTGGGATCCTTGTGCTTCCACCAACAAGGACGATCTCATCGATCTGGCTCTTCTGTAGACCAGCATCATCCATGGCCTTCTTCACGGGTCCCATCGTCTTCCTGAACAAGTCATTGTTCAGCTCCTCGAAACGAGCTCTCGTCAGTGGCTCAGAGAAATCGACACCATCGAAGAGAGACTCAATCTCTACACGTACTTGGTGCTGGCTACTAAGAGCTCTCTTGGCCCTTTCACATTCCCTGCGGAGCTTACCGAGAGCCTTGTTGTCCTTGCTGATGTCCTTTTGGTGCTTCTTCTTGATCAACTTGATAAAGTAGTCCATAATCCTGTGGTCAAAGTCCTCACCTGCATAAGATCACAAAGACAAAAGGTGGTTAGCACCAACATCCATACGAATTTCACACCAAAAACATGCATCTCTGTGGTCTTTGGGTAAGTTACCTCCCAAGTGAGTGTCACCATTTGTGGAGAGAACCTCAAACACTCCATTATCAATGGTCAAGACACTGACATCAAAGGTACCACCACCAAGGTCAAAGACGAGAATGTTCTTCTCACCGCCCTTCTTATCAAGACCGTAGGCAATAGCAGCAGCAGTGGGTTCGTTGATGATTCTAGCAACGTTGAGACCAGCAATTACACCAGCATCCTTGGTCGCCTGCCTCTGGGCATCGTTAAAGTAAGCTGCACATAATCAATGCCAGATAAAGAATCAATTAACTGTATATACACAGATGCATATCTCCAAGAGATACTGACAACAAGCAACAAGCTAACCTGGAACAGTGACAACAGCGTCCTTGATTTTCTTTCCAAGGTAAGCTTCAGCTGTCTCCTTCATCTTAGTCAGAATCATGGCACTGATCTCTTCAGGAGAGAAAACCTTGGTCTCACCATCCTTGATCTTGACTTGAATGTATGGCTTGCCGTCCTTGTTCACGATCTGGTAAGGTACAAGCTTCTTGTCCTTTTGGACTTCTTTGTCCTCGTATCTGCCATAACCCAAAACAAGAATTAAAGCAACAGTCCATTTGCATTGTGAAAAAAAGAAGAAGAAAACAATGGAATTACTTTCGCCCGATCAGTCTCTTGACGTCGAAGATGGTTCTCTCTGGGTTAACAGCCGCCTGGTTCTTAGCAGCCTCACCAATGAGCCTCTCGGAGTCGGTGAAACCAACCCAGGAAGGTGTAATACGGTTTCCTTGGTCATTGGCAATGATTTCAACATGGCCATTCTTGTAAACACCAACACAAGAGTATGTTGTACCAAGATCTATCCCTATAACTGTTCCCAACTTGTTGGCCTCTTCTTTAGCAGTGGAAAACGCAAATAGACATCCTGAACCATATGAATCCCAATCGTCAATAAAACTACATTATCCAGGGATTATCCAGGAAACACAAATCTCTCAACTACATTATCCAGGAAACACAAATCCTAATTCAATAATGGAAACACAAATCTCTCAACTACATTATCCAGGAATTATCCAGGAATACTGATAAACCCGCCACCTAATTTTCTCAATACATTATCCAGGAATGAATATCTACGGAACAATTATCTTTAAGATCATGGTTACCCGTGAGAAACGAGATCTAATCTTAAAAGATGGTAAAATTGTAAGCAAACAAAACGATGAAATCACAAGGAACAACGAAATAATGATAGTTAAAATCAAACATGAATGCAGAGGCTGATTATGACGATTTGAGCAGACTATAGAGATACACAAACCTCAGAGAAGAACATGCTCATACAAAGACAATTAGATCGAGACGTATTAGAGTAAAAGCAGAATCACTAACCGAAGAAGATGATCGCCAGCACAACGGTGCCGTTTGCTCCAAACGAGCGAGCCATATCGAGTGACTGTGTGTATTCGATCTCCCTTTTCTCTTTAGATCTTCGAACAAGAGCTCTTCTTCTTCTCCTTCTTTTTTTTTGGATTTTTTTTTAAGTTTCAGTTCCTCTGTTGAATGGCTTTTTATATAGTCCCCGAATGTGATGGCGCTTTTTAATGGAAGAAATAATAAAAACTTTACGTCACCGAAGATGACTTGGGCCAATTATATCGCGATGATCTATAGCACCAGCCAATCAGAGTAGGTCTCTTGTGTTGGAGTAATCGTGGCCGTTGGTTACCTTTTTATTTTTTCGGCAAACAATTTCATTAATATAAAAATACGGGTACAAAGTCAATATACAAAATTTCCAAAAAACAAATTATTACATATGCAAATACAGTAAAATCTCTATAAATTAATAATGTTGGAACCATGATATTTTATTAATTTATCGTGATATTAATTTATATTTGCTTCCCGCATATAATTTTCTAAAAATTAATTTGGAATAATATTATATTTCAAAATTTTGACAAATCTCATAATATAAATTATGATTAACAATTATAACTATCACAATAAAATAGTCTTTAACACTATATTGGATTACCAATGTAAAAATATACACGTTCATAAATTTAAAATTTAGAAAAAATCATAGCTATTATCTGTATTAAAATTGAAGATAATACTATAATACATTTAAAAATATTAACATGTAAGAAAATTACTTATCACATCAAAAGATCTTCATAAAATTTTGAATGTATATAGTAAAACATTAATAATCTATAAATTAAGGGTATATGTGCCATATGTTAAGAATGACATAACATAAGAAGTTAAATTTGATGATGCTTTACAAAATAAAGTTGTATCCGCTAACGGATGATTAAATCCATTATTTTCCTTCTCTGTATTCTTTCTTTTTTTTTTAATGCGAATTGTGTGTTTACCTAGCAACTTTTGGCTAAACCTTGTAATTACACACAGCATGATAAACCCCAATGCCTCCGTTGTACGAAGTTTTGTTTCTACAATTGAATACCAAAGCTTCTGTATCCAATTCCTTCCATCAGAGTTTAGCTTTAACTTTATACCTTTGTTGATTGATGCATATTCATGTCTTGTCGAGATCCTCCATTTATGTAGATAAAAAATCCACTTAAACATCGATGATCTCCGTTTTACAATAAATATCTTTGCAAAGATTTGATCTTCAAGATATATACGTTCTTCCCCAGTAACCTCCATTGATAGCAAGCAACACCAACATCCATATAT